CAGGAGCTAGGCATTAACGTCCTTGATTCATCAACAGTGCCCACCTATAGATTTAGAAGTGGCAGTCAACCCAAGGCCTATTCCGACAAAATTCGTCAAGACAAGCTCAGTTTTTTTTGGATTTTCCGCATTACGTCTCTGTTGGCTGGCAATATGGTAAGCAGATCTTTATAGAGTCGCTACTGTCGATCGTCACGCGTGTAGAAGTCTAGTTGGCGACATCACACCGTTCAGGATAATCGCAGCAGTGCTAAACAGAAGTAAGACGACGCAGTGTGCCACGCTCGTAAGGAAGTCCTGCTAGAAAGCGCATTAAATTATCAGACATAGGACAGTCCAGGATGATTAAGCAGTCCAAAATTTCAAACGCAATGTAGAAAGTGTCGATAGGAAGAACCGTCTTGGGGCGAAAGAAATCAGGTTATGTGGTGATTAATTTTTCTAGTTGTGCAGGCAACGAATCACTTCGGCACCATTATTTTACTAACTCTGGCTACTTTTGTTGATTTAAGTAGCAAAATATGTCTGAAAGATAATAAGCATTTCCGCACGCCAACAGTTCCACTGTCGCTTCCGACGAGGTCCGCCGCGTGCTCGACAGCAGGGCGGTGCAGGAACGGCGACTTGCACATGAATGATTTTCAATTGATTTGCGCTGCGTCAAAAGCACTCTTGCTTCTCTCATCCACATCTGCTTGGTGCCCAGACACATTCAAGAAGACCAGATAGGAAGAACCGAGCACGGCGGTGAAACAAACAATGGCGACACGGGGGCAGACGCAGCACCAGAGACACTCAACCGGAAGGACGGGCACGGGGACACAAGTGACAGGGAGGAGCGAGCCACACGCGGCCGCCCAGCTGGTATTGGCAGGCTGCGCATACAAAAGAAGACCAGCATATAACGAGATACGTGATCCGGAAGGTGGACGCTCTTCCTTCTTCTGACTTATCATCCGGGAATTGCATTTTCATTATTACTACAGACTATAAACCACTAAAAACTTCTTGCACCTTCGACAAAGACTATAAGATCCGGTTGTCGGCACTTTGACCTCCCCCAAGTTTACGTAAAGGTGAGTCACTGCACGAACCATATAGGTTGGGTAGGGAAAGGTTCCACAATATAACTCACCATGAGAACATGCAAAAGCACAAGCAACAAAAAGGAGGAAATGCACCTATCAGATAACGACTCAAACGCCGGCTTGTAAAACAAGTTTGCATACCATCAAAAGCATTGAAAAGTATGGATGGTCAACCGCAAAAACCCTACAATTAGCCCACGACAGCTTGAACAATTTAGTATACGCAAATGGATAGTAAACTAGACTCATAGGACGTTGCACGTTAATTTTTGCGCATTCGTGTACAGCAGTATGCTTAATAAATGCATAGATACGAAAGCATACACTAAATCGGAAGTTAAGTGCGACAACACAAAGCAAACAAAGTAGACATATAATAGACTATTTTTTACCTTAAATTCACGTCCGTGTATCTCTAGAAGGCCGACGGCTTTTGGCAGAGCCTCGCCTTCAATCAGTGAAGTTGCAACTGAGCTTCCTGGTTGGGCTACATAAAAATTTTGGGACGAGTTCCATTCCGGTTCAATACGACAGTCATGCTCGTGGCCCCATACCACTAGGTCGAGGAAATTCGGGAGGAAGTTTTCGGGAAGATAGCCTGTAGGGCCGTGTCTGACTCGGTTTTGATGAACAACAGCGAGGGAAAACCAATCTTCGGCATCATCTTCTGGTCTCCAGAAAGTAACCTTGTCGTGTAAAAACAACCTATGTAGTCTTTCTTCTCTAACAGCACCAATGCCATAGATGGCTACCTTGGTCGAACCTTTACGTAGAAGAAGAGGAGAAACTTCCAGAGTTTCTACTGAATTGGACTTTCCAAAAAGATTCAGGAAACCACAACTATGAAGAAGATCTGGAGCACAGACATTTCCGGGTCCTGCAGGATCATCATGGTTTCCATGGATAGAAAAAACGGGGACGCCAACATTAAGATTAGGATCAGTGTAATTTGCGAAAGGAAAGGAAACGTTGGCGAAGTTCTTTGACGTGTCACTGAGAAGTTCAAATCGAACAGCCCGATCACCGAGACAATATTTACGTATCAGACGGAGTACTTCGTTCATACAGTGAATGGACGGTCGATTCTCGTGAAATAGATCTCCACCAGCGAGAATGAAGTCGACGTCGTGTTGTTGGGCCAGAAAAAGAATCTCTTCAAGGGTATTAAACGAGTCTCGGCCACGAATGCCATCCTTTTCTAAGTAACCAACATGATTGTCACTCGTAACCAGTATCCGTAGGATATTTGCATTGGTATCCATATACAAATTTCTAATAACAGAAATGGAGAAGAAGAAGAACCAATTGTTATGATCACTTAAAGTATGAGCGGCAGTATAAACAAGCAAAGATACAAAAGAGTGCAAACGGTGTTAAGTGTTTAACATCGGTAAACGATCTTCATAACAAACGACCAGCAGATAAAACATCCGTCAAGAGCGACTGGAGGAATTTCAGATATAGATGCAGGTCTCCAGCACCCCTATTCGGCTGAACATACGCCAGAATAGCTTCTAGGGGTTTCAACTACGAAATATGGTTGTATTAAGGTAACGTCGCTATACGCTGTAGTAAAATGAGGAGGCAACTGGAAATTCATATAAATGGGTAACGAGCAAAAGGCCATAAGATAAATCGGCACACTTACGCAAATTATGGAGAACCCAATCAAATTTGGCAAGAAAT